GTTGGAACAGTACGTACAGTCGACTACCGAACAGAGCTGGGAAAGCATTCTCAGCTTGGTAGGTGGGTGTTGAGATGGTGGAGTTGTGTGTGTGTGTGTGTGTGTGTGTGTGTTTGTGTGTGTATGTGTGTGTTTGTTTGTTACTGCTACGTTCCTCGCACAGTCTACAATTTCGTTGCCATAGATGCCAACATTGCCAGGAACCCAGCTTGCTATAACATTTCTTAACATAAATTTCTTAACAAATGTTAGCAATGCAGATATTAAAATTACATTTAATGAATGTTTTGGATTTCTTGGGTTAATTATCGGTGTTTTAGAGATCGTGTGAATTATTACATTAACCAACGTTCAAGACTGTTGATGGATAATACTGGATAGGCTTTATTGGGTACGATCTGGGTAGTGGAGCAGTTTATATACTGGAAATCTGATAAAAAAAATTTAGATTGTTGATCCTAAGAGCAGTATAGTATGTAACTGTATTCAGGGGGATGTTAATGTCATTAACGTTAACACTTCGTGTTTAATTTTGAATGTGTGTTGCATTTGTATCTTAGCCTGCATGTTGCCATATTAGATTAGTTGTTTCCATTTATCATTATATCTGTCCTGTTCTCTGGATGTTTACATCTCACATCTACGAGAGAGAGAGAGAGAGAGAGAGAGAGAGAGAGAGAGAGAGAGAGAGAGAGAGAGAGAGAGAGAGAGAGAGAGAGAGAGAGAGAGAGAGAGAGAGAGAGAGAGAGAGAAAAGCTGTCGTTTACATTCTAGAGTAGATCATCAAGGCCTTACATATGAAAGTTATTGTAGTCATCATGTTATCTAAAGTTACTGAGATGTGCGCTCATCTTCTCCGTTGCTCTTGAGCAAGATTAATTCGCAATTTTGTGTCCAGCCTCCTGTTGAAGCCGTATTTTGCTTTCCCGTTGAAGATCTTAATAAAGTTTGTAATATGCTAGCTTTAATAAAATTGGGATTTAAATTTACTTCTAGGTAAATATATTATGTACTCGCTTCTTTATGAGTTCCTGTGGTATTTTTCAAGGCATCTTGTTCGTGGTGTCTAAGGTTGTGGCTATCCATATAATTTATAAACTGTATATGAGGTGGCAGGCTGACCTTGACAAGTGTCTCCACAAATATCATGCAGAAATTTGCTCTAAATATCCCACCTAATATTATCAATTACGAGGGTTATTAATCAGTGAGAAATGTTCCTAGACTCTTAGTTTTCCTTCATATGAGATATTCCCGGATCCTGCTGAGTAAGCAAACCCCTTTTCAACCATTGAATATGTATGTGTTGGGTCCTTCTGTGTTGTGTGGTGCTTTATCGTGTGTTGATGCGTGTTGTTGAGTGAGGTTTGTTGTGACCACAGGACGCATGTGGTAGGTATGTCACCTGCAGGAGAAATGTTGGGTTTATGCTATTCGTTAGTCACTTTACTCAGTTTTACATGTGTTGTTTTGCTGTCGGATATGAAGAGTCAAGTCGGGTCAGCGTGTTATTAAGTAGTCCTCAATAGCTAATGATTTTGACACACGATGCCAAAATCTTAAACTATACTGTAACAGTGAAGGAGAAAGATGAGTTAGTAAAATAGGAAAAGCCGCGAGGAGAAACAGAAGAGGAAATTAATAGTCAGCAGTAAAAGTCAAAGTGGTGAATGGGAGAGTTGCAATATGAGCAAGCCTCGGGGATTTTCGTTGTTGAATTCCGAGAAGATAAGTCTGTGTGAACTGGTTAAGCCTTTCCTGGAGTAATGAGCAGAAGCACTGCACAAGACAGGTGGTAATTGAACACACACGAAGGCAGGGAAATCCATTATGAAGCAGCGAGAGGTGTGGCTCTAACGAGACCTGGAGTGGGAACTGGGTGAGAACTTCTGGGATCAGGAGACTATTATTGCTATAAGTGATAAATATCGTTTCCAGGATTGCTGTTGTGGGAACAGAATACTGTTATCGTTGTGGATGATAGATTTGGCTGCTAGGGCGGCTGTTGTGGGAACAAGAGACTATTATCGTTGTGGATGATAGATATCGTTGCCAGGACGGCTGTAGTGGGAACTTGAGAGAATCATTGTTGTGGATGATAGGTATGGCAACTAGGAATGCCGAATGGATGGTATTTGTTTTCTCTCTTTAAAATGTGTTTCAAACGTATTTACAAATTTAATTTCCTAATTTCTAAGACAGACGCTTCTGCGTTTTCAAGTCCGCCACAATTGTATTCCCGGTCAAGTATTTAATTAACTAATGTTGTTCAGAGAATATTACTTATGCTCGAAATTGATGCTGGCAGGAGACGTGTGAAATGCTCCTTACAAGACTCTAATTAATCACGTAAATGTTTGAGAGATTTGCACCAAGTGGGATTCTTTGTGTCCAGTTGCTTTACGAAACCAATACTATTTTTTTCCAATTAATATTGGACAAAATGATTCTAAGCCTCTGAAGCACTCTGAATCCATTACCATCCAGTGGATAATAACAAAATGGAATTATATTACGTCTTAGCCGTGGTATATCACAAAGGAAGAGGAAACGTTATAACATAATTTGGTCAAAAAACGTAAAAAAATCAAGTTACAAAATTTATCAAGTCATATTGTATCCAATTGTCTCTATAGATCAAGCACCTCCACAGACGAAATGCCTACAAGTACCAAGTGCATCAAATGAATAAATGGCCGTACATAAAGAGGCCACTTCATGTCTCTTCTGGCCTTGTTACTGACACTGCAAAACATCTTATCATCAAAGAACGCGACACATAAATAAAGTAGAGAGCAAATGTATCCTGATTTCAAGTGATTTAGAATGTTAATCAGTAAAAATAATGACAATATATATGACAGACCGTAACGTAATAACCTTCCCCATACCCCCCCATCCACCCCTTCCCCATCAACCCCGCCCCTCACTCCCCCAGGAATTCAGATACCTCCCCTCTTCTACCACCCCACCCCATTCCCCTCCCCCTTGAAAGAAAGCAATTTCATTCGCTTCCACCCTCCCCCCCCCTCTGGGTTAAGAGCCTTCCATACCCCCCCCCCCTCCTCCCCCCTGATAAAACACATCACCCCCCACCAGCCCCATCACCCCACCACTCCCCCTTACGGCGCAGCAAGACATAAACATTCCCAAAAGAATATCAGAGGGAGAATTTTGCACCTTTATATAAATTCAATGAAATGCATTAGAAAACTCAAAGTCGTTTGAGTAAACATATTCTAAACAAATTTGCATTATTAAGTAGTTTTTAAATAATAGTAGATTTAAAATAATATCAACAAATTAATATAAATAAATTTGTGTAACTAGACATATATAGTGTATGTATAGACAGATGATTAGGTGACTACAGATTATTATTAGACTAAGACTAAGATTATTAGGTGTACTACACCTAATAATACCGAAAAAGTAACATGGGAAATTTACACTGAAAGGTGTACGTAGCTTCTCGATGTATATACACTGAAAGTCTACTTTAGTCCTGGACTTTCTACAGGACTAAAGGATACTTACTGGTTGGTCAGTAAGTTGTTGTGGTCGAAATAACCCTCCAGTGGGTTGATAAGTCTTAAATCTAATATCAGACCTTAGAGGGCTACTCAGTTCATTTCCAATATTGCAGGTCACAATGAAAAATATGGAAGAAAAATACGGAAACCCGATTTTGGAGATGACGTATTAATAAAATATTTTAGAAATTACACACACACACACACACACAAACACACACACACACACACACACACACACACACACACACACACACACACACACACACACACACACACACACACACACACACACACACACACATTGTGGCATGTTTGAGGCACGGTGTGGCATGATTTGTTACACACTGTGTGGCAAATCATGCCTCACAGGCTTAATTGAATTCTACAACCAGGTAACACAAATCAAGCAAAATAGAGAGGGCTGGGCAGACTTCATATTTTTGGATTGCCAGAAAGCATTTGACGCAGTACCACATAAGAGACTAGGGCAGAAGCTGGACATGCAGGCGGGAGTGAAAGGGATGGTACTCCACTGGATAAGAAAGTACTTAAGCAACAGAAGACAGCGAGTCTTTGTGACAGGGGGGGGGGAGGAGGTTTCGAAGTGGCGAGGCGTCACCAGTAGAGTCCCACAGGGATCAGTCCATGGACCTATACTGTTTCTGATATATGTAAATGTTCCCAGGGAAGAATAGACTCGTTCGTCTCAATGTTTGCTAATGATGCAAAAATTATAAGAACGAGTAAGACAGAAGAAGACAGTATAAGGCTACAAGATGACCTAGACAAACTGAAGGAAAGGTTCAACAAATGGCTACTATAGTTCAACCCAAGTAAATGTAATGTGAAGAAACTAGGCAGAGGAAATAGAAGGCCAGATACTGGATACCGAATGGGAGATGAAGTCCTTCACGAAACGGACAGAAAGAAGGATTTAAGAATTGATATCACGCCAAACCTGTCTCCTGAAGCCCACATCAAAGAATAACATCCGCGGCGTATGCGAGGCTGGCTAACATTAGAACTGCCTTCAAAACCTGTGTAAGGAGTCCTTCAGAACCTTGTTTACAACATATGTAAGGTTAATCCTGGAGTATGAGGCCCCAGCATGGAGGCCATACCTTGTCAAGCACAAGACGAAGCTGGAAAAAGTTCAGAGGTATGCCAGTAGGCTAGTTTCAGAACGAAGAGACATACGTTATGAGGAAAGACTGCGTGAAGTGCATCTCACGTCGCTGGAAAATATAAAAGCCTATTCTTCTATTCCATACAGGCTTAAAACGAATGATTGTTCATAATATAATTACCTCTCTCTTTCTCCCTATTGTTATTGCTATTTTTCTCCATATTTTCATATATCTTACACTCTCTCTTTTTCTCTTGTTTTCTCTCTCTCTCTCACTCTTTTCTCATTATTATTTTGTCTCATACTATGTTTTTCCTAGAACAGCGTCACCGGAAACAATGGGAAGTTTCCCAGGCCTCGTCGCTGTAGCGTGGCTGTTGGTGATATACACAGAGAGATCCTATGGCGCTGTACCACATGCGCCGCATGACAGTCGCTACGACGTTGAAGGACCCACTTGCGTGGATTCCAGCGGAGACACAGACACATGGATAAGTATGACACTCTCGTACATGGATAAGTACGAGGGGGTATTGAGGAGAATGATGTCCGTGAACAGTAGCGTGGAGTGGCAGATGGAACTGGAAGAGAAGAGGAGCGTGGATTGTAGGGTGGAGGTGCTGCTGATGCAGCTGGTGGAGGAACACCTGCAAGGTTGTCAGCTGATTGTGGTGACGGAAGGAGGTGACGTTGACGCCTCCGGCTTCATGAGGTGAGATTGGCATCATTGTGTGTGTATGTTTACTCAACTATTCGTGCATGTAGAGGCTGACCATCAGCTCCTGAAACCTGCCGTTCAATCTAACTTAGAAGAGTATAGTTGATACTTTTCTACTGCTAGTTCATTCATCATCTTCACTTTCTGATGACTGATAAAGTTCCTTTTTAAAAGCTCTGTTGTCTTGGTTTCTCCACATGTGTCCCCTCGTCCTAGTTCTTACCATGTGTTCCCTTGTTTTTGATCGTGTAAGTTCCCATCATCTTGGCTTTTTACAATGTAAAATGGCTTTTTACAATCACTTTTTACTTTCTCTCCCAAGTGGTCCCCTTGTTCTAATCTCTCCCTAGTGGTCCCCTTGTCCTGATCTCTCCCAAGTGGTCCCCTTGTCTTGATCTCTCCCAAGTGGTCCCCTTTTCTTGATCTCTCCCAAGTGACCCCTTGTCCTGATCTCTCCCTAGTGGTCCCCTTTTCTTGCTCTCTCCCTAGTGGTCCCCTTGTCCTGATCTCTCCCAAGTGACCCCTTGTCCTGATCTCTCCCTAGTGGTCCCCTTGTCCTGATCCATAGCGTGTATTTCCTGTCCCGGCTCCTTCCATGTCATCTTTGTCTACCATGTAGATTATATTTAATATTCTGTACATAATGATCATATCTCACCTTTTTCTCATTCTCCAGCGACGTGATGTATAATTCCATTTGTCTTTCCTCATAATTCCTATCCAGCAGCTCTTGGGATTTCTGAACTTTTCACAGAACTTATTTGGTTGACGAGAAGGCAAATCAATGCTGGAGGTGTGTATATTCCAGAGGTTATTTAATATATAGCGTACATACATCTTCATCAATCCTTTCTCAGGTTCTTTCAAGTTAAACGTTTTTAGATAATACCTTGTGTCTTGTTATTTCTCAGTGGATGTTACCATTGCCTTGCCTTTTCTGAGACTGAATTCTAGCAACCACTTGTCATGTAACTATTCAAGTTTGACAAATTCATCTTGAAGTTTCATAAAATATATATTTTATTATCTCTCTCTCTCTCTCTCTCTCTCTCTCTCTCTCTCTCTCTCTCTCTCTCTCTCTCTCTCTCTCTCTCTCTCTCTCTCTCTCTCTCTCTCTCTCTCTCTCTCTCTCTCTCTCTCTCTCTCTCTCTCTCTCTCTCTCTCTCTCTCTCTCTCTCTCTCTCTCTCTCTCTCTCTCTCTCTCTCTCTCTCTCTCTCTTCTTCACAGGAGGATGGCATCAAGAGGTATGACAAGTGTGATCATAAACATAAGAACAAACCATGATGGTACAAGCTTCACAGTCAGCCACAACACGTCCATCCAACCTCTCCATAGCGGCTCTGTGGAGCAGTTCGGAGAGAGGGATATCCGGTTCTCCTGCAGGGCGGTTATCTTGCTCCTCGGTCCACCAAACCCTTCCCTTGGTAGCGGGTCTTTGAGGTTAGTAAACACACTATTTCGTTAACTATTTATATCGTTTTTCGTATTCCACATCTCGGCTGGAATATGCAGTCTAAGCGTAAAAAACAACAGACAAAAGATGTATAAAGCAATGGAGTATTCGGCACTTGATCTCTGTTGAAATGTAATATGATGAGACTTAAGGTGAATATATGTGTCAATAGTGAGAGCTGAAGACGTTTAGAAGAGATTCCCGAATTACTGTAAGATTTACACAGAAGAGTAATTGAATGTTTTTCAATGGATGTTGTGATAGTGGTGAGAGGTCGTAGGATTGGTTGAGATAATAGAATAGTGTCTCGTGGGTTGATTGTGGTGATTGTACTGGTGGTGGTGGTGGTGGCGGGTATTGGGGCTGGTTGTGATGAAGGTTGTAGATTTTGGGTGATAGTTGTATTTATTGTGATGGTGGTTGCAATGATGATATTCATGGGGATGAGTTGTGTTGTAGTGGTGTTTGTTATGATAATGATGGTTGTGATAAGGGTACAGATGATAATGGAAGTGGTAGTGATGGTGGTGGTACTGGTGGAAAGTGCTAGTAATGAGGAAAGTAATGCCGCTGGTTCATGTGGTCTTTGTGGAAATTGTTCGTGTGAATATGATCATTGCACTGGTAATGGAGAACATTACAGTGATGGAAGCAGGACAGGGAGGAGTTTTTGTACAAATACTGTTCTTAAAAATTCATATTTATATTTCTCTTCTTTTTCTTCCCAGAAATCTTCAAGAAAACAACACACCTATGGATATTATTATAATGTGTTCCCAGAAATTATATATATATATATATATATATATATATATATATATATATATATATATATATATATATATTTAAATAGTGCATTGTTTACAGGTTCTTGCATGACGCTGAGGTATGGAAACAGCCAGAGACGCGGGTGGTGGTTGTAGGTCCTCCTGAAGGAGCAAGCCAACTCCTGCTCCACCCTATACTCAGAAACACCGTCCATGTACTTTATCTCGCTCCTACGAGTCCTCTCACGTCAGTAACTACCAAAGACCAGAACACTCCTACAAGCCCTTCCCATGCTAGCGAGGCGCCCCTCAAAGCCAATGACGGGCTTCTCGCGGTTCCTGAAGGTGGCGGCAACAGGGATGCTATAAGGAAAGCCAGGCGTAGGTCCTCTACATTAGATACGCCAATCGTCGTTTGCATTTGTATTTGTACACATGAGCCTCAGGATTACATAAAACAATTGTTACGATTTGAATTGTAGCCTTTGGTTAGTGAGTGGTCATTGTATTATCATATTAATGTTTTACTAGTCTCTAGACCACGCGATTGTTTACGTTATTTAACTGGTTGAAAACAGAAGGGGAAACAAATAGTCTCAATTACTATATATGGGAGTAGAAAAGTCATATCAATACGTCTATAGTTATGAATAAGTCAAAATTCATTTCCACAGTTATAAGAAGTCTTCAGTAATCATTAAGTTTTGAATGAAGTAATTTAAACTTTTATTATATCAACAGTAGTCATTTCTAGAACTATATGCAAATCTTCAGTCATTTCTACAGATATGAGAAGTGAATAGTTATCAGCAAATATACAGTCACTTCAAGTGTTATGAGTAAGTTTACAGTCATTCCTCCACTTACGAGTTTCTGTTCTACAGACTCTGTGGTCCACATCTACAGCCGCTGCCTCTACTGTCGTGGCGGGATGGCTGAGGCACATCATGTAGACACGTGGGACTTACACACCGGGTTCCTCGAGGCTGCTCCTTTGTTTACAGGTGAGGCCACGTGGTCATTCTTGCCCGCTCTTGTTTATATGCATAGACTTCCACTCTCTGACATTTTCCGGTTATCTGAGTCAATCACTCTGGAGTCGCTGGTTGATATGAAAGCACTCAGATATTTTTTTTGTCTCTTTATTACCTGATCACCTGAGAATATACAGACACATTCACCTACATAAAAACCTACAAAATCATCTTTTTAACTTCCAGAAAAAGCAGAGAACATGAATGGACACACGCTCAAGGTTGTGGCTTTGCCCTTCTTTCCTTTCATCGAGTTCGACCAAGATGCGTCCACAGCCGGAGCGACAGTCACTCCGCATGATTCACTGGATCTGCGCATGCTCCGAGAGATCGCTTCCAGACTCAATTTCACGTACGTCAGAGACGAAGTTGACTCTAGTAAACTCAATTAGCTTGCCTGGAGACAGGTGGTAGCCCCAACATGCAGCGCTCGACATAGCAAAATAAATTTTTATTTTTCCGTAGCTCTAACTGCACTCGAAATTATTTACTCAAGAACATAAGAATAAAGACAAATTATAGAAGGCTTTTTGGCCTATAGATTGATTGATTAATAAATATTAAGCCACCCAAAAGGTGGCACGGGCATGAATAGCCCGCAAATTGACAATATGAGACAGCCGCTATTTATATCCACCCTAACTTCCCATACGTCTAACCTACCCTTGTTACAACCTATCTATGCCCCCCATGGGCTATGTTACCCGGTAATCTGCCACATAACTGCACAACTCTGGAGAGGAAAGTAAACACTTACTACTTGCCATTTTTTTTAAACAGATACTTTTGTATATCTGAATAGTTTTGTCATACTTTCTTTCTGGTTAGAATCTTAAAACTTACTCTTCTGCCAATAGAACAAACTGTCTGACTGTTTGTTGTCCAGGCGAAGAAATGCACATTGTATAAATACTTATTTTCTCGGAATATTTAGACAAATATTATTTCTCGATGCAAAATACTGCCTCACAGCCTTTACAATTCTGAAAATGTGTTTGTGCACATATATGCATATGGATATTCATATATAAAATAAATATATTGAAAGATATATCGCCCCTGACATTCTTGGGCTACAAGTGTTATCTTTACTCAGTCTCAGAGAGAGAGAGTTTACTGGTAACCAGTTGGCAGATTTGTTATGTTGGTTCTGAAGATGCAGATTGATCGAGGGGCTGACACGCTCGCTTGAGCCAAACACGACAGGCTCAAGACCATTTCTCAGGAGGCAAAACATGCTCGGGCAACGTTGAATCAACATTATCGGCGTTGATTCAATATTGAATCAACGTTGTTTACCCAAAATGCGCTCACTGGGTTGGAAATGCTCTCATTTGTGTGTTTGGTAAAATAAATCAATTTTTGACCGAAGAGAGAATGGTAACATTGCATGCTTGGGAAAAATGCGTTACAATCATTCAGTAGCTTTTCGTACACCTGAACATGCACGTCTGTTTGCCTTTCCTCTTTCTGATGTTTGTCATGGGATTGTATGTTCCTTCGTGGTCACCTCTCAAGAAACACTCAACACACACACGGACGAAAGATTTGAGTATTTTAATAAATTTAGATGCACTGTAATCACTTTTCCAATACGGTGTCTAGATAAATCCGAATACAAAATATCTAACAATTTGAATATTAGTATAGAATTGGATTTTATAACATAGGTACATATGTAGGGTAGTAAAGTAACTGCTCCCAGGGCTGAGGCTTTAGTGTCTGATGGGGGGCAGTGGTCAAAAGGAGAAATATCGGAGAACTGGTCGGAAAATTAATCGGTGAATAGACCAGGGAATACATCAGGTGACAGAACACGGGAAAAATCTGTGAATAGACCATTAATTATATCAGTAAACAGTGGACAGCAAAAACAGGAAATAAGACGACTAAAACAGCATAATTTTCTTTAAGGTTCGAGATCCGAACACCAGTGGATGGGGAATGGGGCGCCAAGAAAACGGACGGGTCGTGGACTGGCATGGTGGGGGAAATGGCTAGGGAGGAGGCTGACCTGTCCTTCTGCGTCTTCAACTCCTTCCTGCGGAGCCAGATCATCCAGTTCATGAGGACGTACGCTGGAGAGCCACTGGTGATGGTCTCCCACAAGCCCAGTCCACTACCACAGTACCTCGCTCTAATCAAACCTCTTCAACGTATGGCTTTTCTGGATTGGGTGTGGCTAAGTCCACTTTAATATATGTTTCCTAATATAAGTTTCATTTTCATTTTGTTCTATATATATATATATATATATATATATATATATATATATATATATATATATATATATAGATAGATAAATATATATATAAAATATATATATATATATATATATATATATATATATATATATATATATATATATATATATATATAATATAAGGTGACATACTGGGCAACTATTATTTTTCCTGATTGCTCATGCCTCGAAAGTATAGAAAATGGCTATAATTCCCCTCAAATCTTTGCTTTGACCTTCACTTAAGACAGCTTAGGGAAGACGTCTTGAAGGTACCTGAAGGTTGGCGACTTGTGAAACAATGTGTCACAGCTCTAGATAAGGAGTCGACAGCTTTTCAGGTACCTTTAAGACGTCTGCTGTAAGCTGTCATGGGCATAGGTGAAAGCAAAGGTTTCTGGAGAATAATACCCATTTTCTAAATGATCTTTCGAGGCATAAACAATCAGAAAATCCCCAGGAATAAAAATTGTGTTACATTGTGATACATTCATAAATTTTGGCCATAAAATTTTCTCGTAATCCAAGAGTGAGTGACCAATGATCATACAATGTTCATAAGAGAAGCGGAAACTATAGAAAACTTCTACTGAAAACGCTCTCTGATCTCATTATTGTTATATGTGTTTCCTTGCTGAAGGATGATCCTATTTTGTCGATGTCAGCTGTGGTGTGGGCGGGGGTTGTGGGTGTGTGTGGGGTGGCGGGGGTCGCCCTGTGGATGCTGCAGCGAGGATCTCATCTCGTGTTGAGTACCAGATCCTTCAGCCTGGTCGAGTCCCTCTTGCAAACCTTGGGCGTTCTCCTGGAGCAGCCGCCTCTAAGGAAACCTGGCAAGTGGACAGGAAGGGTAAGTAATGGGATTCGTCAGGTGTGGATAGAGATTGGATAGTTGAGCATGGTGATTGGATAGTTGAGCATGGTGATTGGTCAGGCGAGCATGGTGACTGAACAGATGAGCATGGTGATTAATCATGTGAGAATAATGACAAAAAATTTACTTGAAATTATCCGTGCTGAATTTATTTTGGCCTAATTTTGCACCGATGGACCGCTAGTGTTTGTGACCTGCTCATCTTAACCTATACCAATGAACCATTAGGAGAACGCCACAATGTTTAGTAATAATAGCTCGGCGTTATACCCCTAGAATTGAGTGGCATTCTAACACACTTCAACCCCACACAGCTGTACCATCAGATAAGATGGTACCATAACCCAGTACCGATGTACCTGCAGATGTGGGTATTGTGTTGGAGTGTATTCAGCTTGTTGGCCCTCTCCATGTATCGTTCGTCCCTGGTGGCCTATCTGTCCGTCCCTCAGATGAGCGTCCCCGTTGACAGCATCCAGCAACTTGTGTCCCAGAAGGGGTGGACCTGGGGAATCGAACCTGGGTACGGCCTCGGGTGGGAGTGGCTGAGATATAGCAACAACACCGATGTCAAGAAGGTGTTTACTAAGCTCGAGGTGAGTTGGGTATTTGGTTTTATTTTTACTTGTGTGATGTATGGCTGTATTTGTTATATCTGTGATTGGCAGTACTTGTCAATGCAGTTGTAACAAAGAAAAAAGGTTGTAAAATATTTTGTGGTTTGTGAGTTGGTGAGGCAAACTGTTTATGTTTGTCATTATTCAGGTGTACTTGTTATTTTACTTGCTTGTAAATGACGTTAGTTAAAGCTGTTGCTGGTGTTCGAATACATGAGACCGGTGAAAGAAAGTCAGTAGGTTGCATAAATAATTTGTTTACCGGCAGTGCAACAAATACCATAGTGTCATATTCAGGTGGCATTCAGATCTAAGAAAATATAAATATTTTATGAGACATTTACTCACCTTTGATATTCGATTATAAAGAAAAATAATTTATTATTGACTTTTCTGTTTCAAAAATAAAGTAAACAACAAAATTATAAAGTGAAATACAAATCTCTCTCTCTCTCTCTCTCTCTCTCTCTCTCTCTCTCTCTCTCTCTCTCTCTCTCTCTCTCTCTCTCTCTCTCTCTCTCTCTCTCTCTCTCTCTCTCTCTCTCTCTCTCTCTCTCTCTCTCTCTCAATCTCTCAGATACTCAGCTTGAAGGAGCAGATGAAGAGGGTGTTGGGTGGCCATCATGCATTCTTTACCTGGAGGAACTACATCAAGACGCTTCTCGCTGCTAACTACACTGACCGCTTCGGCAATTCCCCTGTTTACGTCAGCCGCCAGTTGTATGCTGACAGTGGTTGTACTTGGGGGTGCAGGTGGGAAGTCATGTGTGTGTGAGTGTGTGTGTGTGTGTGTGTGTGTGTGTGTGTGTGTGTGTGTGTGTGTTTACTAGTTGTGTTGTGTTTTTGCGGGGGTTGAGCTTTGCTCTTTCGGCCCGCCTCTGAACTGTCAATCAACTGTTTACTAACTACTTTTTTTTTTTTTTTTTTTTTTTTCACACCACACACACACACACACACCCCAGGAAGCAGCCCGTGACAGCTGACTAACTCCCAGGTACCTATTTACTGCTAGGTAACAGGGGCATTCAGGGTGAAAGAAACTTTGCCCATTTGTTTCTGCCTCGTGCGGGAATCGAACCCGCGCCACAGAATTACGAATCCTGCGCGCTATCCACCAGGCTACGAGGCCCCTATGTGTGTGTGTGTGCGTGTGTGTGTGTGTGTGTGTGTGTGTGTGTGTGTGTGTGTTTCTTTACTGTTTGTTTACTATTTGTGTTTACTATCTTTTTAAATTATAACAATCGTAGGATAGGTTATAGGACTGAATTATATTAGCGCTCCTCAGAGTCACTATAGTCCCTATCCCTCCACTATCTTCTTCTCTTCTGTCTCAGGAAGGGGGCACCCTTCTTCCGGCAGCTAAACGGCCTGCTTCAGCGTCTCCTCGAAAATAGTCTCGTCGATTTGTGGCTTAGAGAAATCTTCCGGAATGCGACGCAACGATCCAGAAATCATGAGAGACCCAATGATGAACCTGCTGTGGTGAGCTCTCAATGTTTTAATACTTTACATAACATCGTAATCTTTCATTTTCATTGAAAAATTGCTATATTATTACAGGCTATATTATTTCAGAAGGCTTCGTGGGATATCCTCGATTAGTACAACTATTAAATACATTTGTAATGCACTTGTATATCCCCATAAACTATTAAACTGCACTTAAAATAAAACACACACATATATATATTAGGAAAAAACAAATAATGAGAACACATTGGGACAATGTGATAAAGCACGCGTCCCAGGACTTGCCAAGTCCCCTATATAAGGTTATATAACATGTTCCATATAATATTGACCTGCAGGATGACACGAACGTGGTGTTGGGCTTGTACCACCTTCAAGGGGCCTTCTACCTCTATTTCATGGGTCTTGGATTTGCTGCACTCGCCTTCCTACTGGAGAAGATTGCATTCCTGCGCCTCCGTCTAAAGTCCTCTATCAGTCACTGATTGAAAACTGTGCCTCTGTTTGTCGTCAAACAGAAACGGGATCTTCTGTACGACCTACATGCTCACTTACCCATCTCATCTAATATGTATATGTATAAATAAATATTATTAATGATATTAGTTATGATGTGAAAAATCATTTATTTATATTTAAAGATATCATTTTCATTAATCTTACATTAGATGTGTTAGAGTAATGTATATTTACGGTGAGATAAAAGATAAAGCACTGCGTGTGTGTTCGTGACACATATATACGTCGCATATTACAACATATGATAACAGTATTACCTTGCACACCCTCTACACATCTTGGGGTCCACACGTCTTGGGGACCTCATGACACACCCCTCTACTTCTGGAGATAACGTCATGACACACCCTCTGCTTCTTGACGGTATTATGACACTGTCTTTACGTCTTGAAATGACCTCATAACAAACTCTCCATGCCAAAAGACGACCTCAGGATATCCTCCATGTCTTAGGACGACCACACAACATATCTTCTTCTTCTATCTCCTAAGACTACGTCACAAAGCAGTAAACGTCTGATTTTCTGTTATTCAATTAAAGGAACGCAACAACATATTTATTCAGGTAAACGAATGAATACAGGTGTTCCTACAGATAAAGGAATGAATATAGTTATTCCACCAGCTGTTAGAATGAATCTGTTATTAAAACAGGTAAATGAATGAATACAGCTGTTCATACAGAAATATGTATACATGCAAGTATAAATATGAATGAGTTAGATGGGGGAAAAAGTTACAGATACACCCAAAGATAAAAGTATACATAAAATCTAAAGCAAAATTATATATAATCAAATAAGTAAAAGTATACAGATGAAAGTAGACATAATCCCACAGGTAAATGTATATCCAAACACAAATTGAACAATATTCATAAACCCACGATTAAAAACATACATAATCCTGAAGCTAAAAGTATATATAATCCACATGTAAAAGTATGTATAACCCCACAGGTAAAAGTCTGCATAAACCCACATGTATACATAACCACTCAGTAAAATTTTACATACACAAACAGGTAAAAATATACATAAACTGATGGTTAAAAGTTTACATAACTCCACTGGAAACAAGTATACATAGAGGCACATATTTAAGTAGGACACAAACATGCAAATCCAGAGATTTCGATCTAGTAACAGAACCGAACGTCACAAAATAACGATGTTGAAAGCTACTAAACACCGCACAATTGTAAAGTTTATCAGTTTCACTTGGATTGGTCGTTATAGCGGCGACCTCGTCTCGTGCAGGTCGACGTTCGATCCCTGATGTTCAAAGTTGTTACCACTGTTCCTTCCCTCCGACCTATCCCAAATCCTTGTCCTCCTGACTCTTCCAAGTGCTATATAGTCATACTGGATCACAGCTTTCACTTCATAATTATCTTACGTCTTAAACGATGGCGTGTTCATGCATTCTCAGCTATTAATCGGAAAAAAACAATATGTCATATATCGTAATTTTCACCTTTTGTCAATTATGGCAATTTCCGATAATAGCTAAACAACATGCAGATAAAAGTATTTGGGGGGGGCCCTGTAATAATGGTAGGGATATAGTGCATACTGTACTGGAAGATTACAGAATGTTGGCAAGTTTATCCTGTAACCAAGGTGGTAGCAGTACAGTGTTTTGTATGGAAGCTTGTAGCAAGTCGGTACAGTATTGATGTAACCAAGATGATAGCTGTAATGCACGTAGACTTTTCAAACACTGCAGCAAGATGGGACTTGAAATCTGTAACCAAGGCGACAGCGGAACTGTGATATCTGGGAAGCTAGCATATGCTTACAGCCTGTAAGCAAGATAGCGACTGTAAGCAAGATAGCGGCGGAACTCTGTCCCTCTGGGAAGCCTTCAACATGCTGGGGAGATAGAGATAAGGGCACCTGTTCTTGTCGTTTCTGTACCTGTTGTTTGCCTTTGGATGAGAAAAGGTCATTGTGACCAAATGATGGAGTAGATATTAAACAATTTTGTATGTAAATAAAATTATTTCTATGAATTATTATTTACCTTTTAACTTAATTAATAATAATAATAATAATAATAATAATAATAATAATAATAATAATAATAATAATAATAATAATAATAATAATAATAATATAATAGTATTAATAAAAATAATAATAATACAGAAGAGTGATCACACTAACGTGATCTTAAGGTTATTTTGAGATGATTTCGGGGCTTTTTAGTGTCCCCGCGGCCCGGTCCTCGACCAGGCCTCCACCCCCAGGAAGCAGCCCGTGACAGCTGACTAACACCCAGGTACCTATTTTACTGCTAGGTAACAGGGGCATAGGGTGAAAGAAACTCTGCCCATTGTTTCTCGCCGGCGCCCGGGATCGACCCCCGAGACCACAGGATTACAAGTCCAGCGTGCTGTCCTCTCGGCCGACCGGCTCCCTAATGTGTCATTGAGAAAGTTTGTAGGGATTTTTGACCATGTCGTGGCCTAGTTGGCTAGGGTGGGTGTTTGGGAACACTCACCGCACAGGTTCGAACCTTTATGCTGAGGACTGGTTCAATATTATTATTATTTTATTATTATTTTATTATCATTATAATAATAATAACAATAGTAATAATTAATATTACTTGAGGAGGATTCGAACCCGCAGATTCGGTACTCCCAAACCCACGCCCGAGACCTCTACACCACAACTTGGTAAAAGGAATACAATCTGGGACTCAACTGAATCCTCTAGGAGTCATGAGGCATCCACTGAACCCTAATCAAGGGTTTCACTTATCCTTGCACTCCGGCTATGGTCCAAGAGTTCTACCTCCAACACTTCTCTCCATATGCACTATAAATTCATATTAACGTGACGAATCATTGAAAAAATCATTAGAAGCCATTAAGAGGATTCGAACCTGCACACTTGGTACTCCCAAGCCCACTGAATGGGCTTCAGTGGAACTTCCCTCTTTCTTGTCTTTGGGGCCAGTGACTCATGTTATATTACTGGGGCACATCTTCCTGCTTGTAAGCCACAATGGTCAGTTCTGAAGCCAGGGAGGAATGCACCTGTTGGTGCCTCCCTGTAAAGCAACAAAAGGGACGTTTTGGCACGTGTAAGTGGCTGTAACAATTGCTTAGGTAGGGATCGTCGGAGAAGGTGGGGGTATCGTCAGCGTAATGAGCACTAATAGTGTAGCAAGCTATTGCATAATCTAATGGTTAGCTTTCCTTTCTCCAATATTTTTCCCAACTAATGTCATAATTTGTTTATTTGCCTCAATTATTTATTAATTTTTTTAAGGTGCTAATTACCAACAGAATGACAATGGAAACCTTGAAATTAAACACAAGTCATAATCAACAATTTATTTACAAGATCATTACATAAAAGTTAGAACAGGACTTTACAGAAACTGTAAATAGACTAGGAATGGAGAGGGTATTGTCTTATCTTTTGTTACAATATAGTAGAATTCACATTGCAGCTTCGTATCCTTAAAGCTTCTGTATACATATCGCTAATCACAGGATTGAAATCTAAACTCCCTCCTGTTTCCTCCATTCCACACCAATCTTATATCAATAAATGCATTTGATCTACATTCATTCAAGAACCGCCTTTGAAGTTATATTTTGAACTCAGACATTTGTCCTCCAAAGTTGGGTGGCCAACTTCGCCTTTGCACTGAATTGCTTTACATCGAAATGTTAGCGTGGGAAGATGTTTGGTATCTTGCACGACACTTGTTCCCTTGCTTAGTGAATGATTCTGTACAGACGCGCAGTCCCGGTATCAACAGCGTGGAGATCATTCCGCTAACGTACCGCTTCTGTCCTCCCAATTACTGACACGGACCTATAAAGAAAACATAATGTAATGAACACGGATCTTGAAAGAAACCTATAGAAAATAACAGACATGAACCTTCGAAGAAAACGAGAGAAAGGTAAACAAAAAATGAATTCCTCATTTATTATAAATGTCTAGACCTCCAATCCAGATGGAAAGGTCTAGGAACGTCCACTCATAATTAGGCAAGAACGCAATAAAAAAAACGCATATCAGATTGAGAGGCCAGGCTACTTCAAGAATGACATAATGCTTGAAGTACACGCATTTCAGAGTGATGAGTTTCCCATCATATTGACGTCAAGAGTCCTAAATCTGCGTTCACTTTTAAGTAGAATAATGAACAATATCATGGCTGAATAAGGTAATATAAATTAATGGAAAAGCAATGAATAAATTTAGTTTAATTTAATTGGCGTCCGATTATTGACATTGATATAAATTTATCTCTTCAGAAATATCAGTAAATTTGTATAATTGAGAATAATGTGTCAGGGTGACGCCAGGATGGCCGACTTGAAGCTGCAGTGACGCAAGCTTGGCTAAAAATGCTTAAGACGGGCTTAAACAAATCTTTGATGATGCAAAATTTGATAATGTAAACCTGTGGCAGAGCAAGAGTTGGTCATCCATACTTGTGATGAAACAGATTTGTTTCTAAGTGTAGCCTGTGGTGAAACAAGATTTGTTAATGCAAGCCTGTAATGAAGCAAGATCTGGTCATCCAAAGCTACAATGAAGCAACATTGTTTTCTATATATCATTAAACTGACATGCCAAGCATCTTGATCCCCGGATCATTCTCAGGATTTATGAGACATCCAGTTTAAAGTGTTTTTGGCCAACTAGAATACGGAAGTTCCTGCACCTAACTTACTGAAGCCATGCTGTGTAATGAGGAAAGTTGGGCTCTTCATCAGAAATGATCTCGAGTAAACTAGTCATTCAAGACGAAATTTATGCGATAAATTCCTAAAAAGAAGCCGCCCAAATATATGGTTTGTTTAAATTACTGATGTCATAAAAAAATGGTCGCCCAGACAACTGGTTGCCCAAACAAGTGGTTTCCAAGACAACTGGTCGACCAGAGAAGCTCATATAACACAAGTAGTGACACAATACACACTCACCCAGATGGTCGATGACGTATATAATGTTCTCGCCGCTGGCCTGTGCCT